ATTTTACAAGGAAAGATCAAAAATTACAAAAATGTTTAAAGTCTAGAAACACATTTGTTTTTTTATTCTTTCCTATCAGAGTATATTTTAATATGTTCATATGTTGCATGAGATTATGTATTTTACAGCTGTGGATCAGTGATTGAATATATATATATATATAAAACAAATGGGACCACTTCTTACACACAGGGAAGGAAACTGTAGTTCACTGCCCACAAACAGAGCAGCACTAACTCCTAGTGGTCAGACGGAGGAAGTGCAGAGAGGACGCATCCCAACCTTCTCATTCTGAGTAAGTTGTTGTGTTTAACAGGAAGTCCTGGATCGTGTCTCAGTAAAGTGAACCAGACGTGACACAAACACAACTGGTTCCACCTGATGGTCACATTTTTACAGAAAAGAGGAAACTGAGTGTCTGTGAGGAAGACCTATGACCTCATTTCTGATCAGCTGCAGAGGCGACAGCAAGACTGATCTGCTGAGTGGCTGCTGGTGAATTATTAAACCGGTGGTGGAGAGACACAGACAGCTGAGGTATAACAACTTACTTGGAGAAGCGCTCTGCGATGGCGTTGTTTTTCCCCCGGGTGGAGACGATGGACATCTCCTTGGCGGTGACCCTGAGCGACTGGGACGCCCACTGTCTGCGGCTGAATGGAGCAACGGAGGCCATCTTTGTTGCACGTCTGAGCGATCAATCTGTCTCGTCAGCTTGCCAGGAACACACGTCGTAACTCTGAGAGGAGAGGACACAAAAAGGGAAGCATGAGACAAGACGAATGAGGAGTAAACTGTTGACTTCTCTGCAGCTCTAAAACTTGAGTTAAGCAGAGAAGAAGAAGAAACACCCTTCCTGTATATTTAACACCCTTCTCCCGCTCTGCTAAATAAACATACTTACAGCTTTTCCCCTCACACATGCACTCAGTTTAAAAACCACAGGCTTCAGATCAGACCGTGAGGCTTTTCTGTCAGTACAAAACCTCTCTCAGGAATCAATAAATGCACCCAGACTACAACACTGGACAGTGTGTCACCACCACGGCGTGGACCAGCCCCCAGTGTCTGAGTCAGAAAGTCAATAGAGCGCGTCAGACCAGCCATTGACCATCTGTTCCCTGTATGACACTGCTCCAACTGAGCCTCCGGGGAAACTAACCAGCAGACAAGACAACTGATACTCCAGCTCCTCACACAAAAACCTCTCTTGTACACCACACAGGGTTTCACAACGTGCACGCCTCTACCTGCTTCACAGCCTGGAGGGCCGAGGGCGAGCAGGCACACGCAAGCAGCGCCGCCAGCTTACGGCTAAATAACTGTCATCTGTGAGTTACACACGCTCCGGGTGAATTAAACAATAGAGGTCGATGAGCGGGTTGGTGACGGCAGAGCCTCGGGGGCCCCGACTCATCGGCTCGACGTCACTCAGCAGGCGGTTCATTTAACTCAAAAGAAATGTTAAAACCGATTACGTCAAGAAGTTTAAGTAAAACTAACAAATTTGTTTAAGATTTAGACTTAATTTGTATTTGTGCTGTGAAAACTTACCAATAAGAAGTTCTTAATCAGGAAAGTTTATTTAGCTTATAAAACTACGTTAGTGTCACTTTTGAGTTAAAATAACTTATGGCTTAACAGCTCTGGCTCCCAACCTTTTTCCTTCCCTTTTCTATCATTTATTAAACTGACTCAGTGACATATTTTATGGATATTTCAGATTAGATTCAAAGCTGAACAATGAACCTAAACAGTGAACTCTGTAACTGCAGGAAGTTAAATTAAAGTGTAAAATGAGTGATTTGATGAATTTTGAGCAGATTGTTTCCTGTTTACTGACCTTTATCATTTTTTAACAATCATAAATACTTAACAGACTTCTTTTTTGACAAATTCAGTGTTTCTCCGCCATTGTTCTATTAAACATTCACTTCACATTTAACTTCCGCCACAGAAGTGAACCAAATGCTGAGATATCGGCCTACTGTGTCTATTTTTGAAGTTTTCTTACACTCCTTAAAGTCAAGAAGGCCTCGCGACCCCCCAATGAAGCTTTGTCGACCCCTAGAGGGGGTCCCAACCACTGCTTTACAGTGGATGTTGCCTTGTTTCCTTTGTGTTAAGTGTTGTCTGTAAATGGGATAGTTAAACTGACACTCCAAGAAACATGTATAACTGATATAATGTTACATTAAATAACTGCATTAATACTCACTTAATAAGTGAGGATTATTTTCATTATCAATGAATCTGCTGATTATTTTCTCGATTAAAATAGTGTGAAAGATTTAATGGCATCTAGTTGTGTAGTTGCAGACTGAGAAGCCGAAACCATCACATTTATTGCATTTTTACTGCATAGATTACTTAAATGATTCATTATCTGTCACATACTGACTGACAGTGGGATGTTGCCTAATTAGGACTGGCTCTTTCATTTCTACAACCACAAAGTATTTGGAAACTGTTGCTCTCCAGTCGAGGTAAGTCTCTTTTTTAAATGATTTGGGCTGCAACTAATGAACCAACTGACTATTTTTATAACTGGTTAATCATATAACATATCAGAGAACAGTGAAAATGTCCATCAAAATTCCAACATGAGGTCTTCAAATGTTGAACAAAAAGTCCAAAACCCAAAAGATATTCAGTTTACAGTGA